TTGGAATTAGTACCAGCTAGCATCAATGAGCCGCTCTTGTCACCCACATCAACATCAAGATTGATCTTCCAGTTGTTATCCACAGAAGAGGAGCTGGAACTGACCAGAGACTCACTGGATCTGTGGAGCGTGCTAGACACTTTCATGCTGCAGGACTGCTTTGCTATCCAGTCCATGACTGACAATGGGAGCTTTTGCTTTTTGTTCTCCAGATAGGGGTTGCTGCACAGGGTGCATGTTTTGTCCTTGCGTTTCCACTTATTCATGTCGAGCACAAAGGCTCCCTTACGTTCCATCTTGGTGATATCAAAGCCTTCGCCGGCCAAATTGGTACCTGGAGCAAATTCTGCATCTCGACACTGTCTGGGTGTCCCATCTGTGCAGGATTGATATGTACACTGAGGGAGGGACAGCATGAGGCTGGCATAGATGCAAATATTTAACAGAAACATGTTTCTGTTTAGTTAGGTGATGAAAACAAGCTGATTTCCTGGAAAAGAAATACAATTCATGAGCAATTGATGCTGTTTATTACTACACCACAACTACTTGCTGATTAGACTGATGAATTCCACATTGAAGTAGCAATGAACAGATTTTAGCAGATGCTAAATAACCTAATACATTAACACTATTTCTTTATTTTAGTGGCATCTTTCTCCATAAATATTGCTCCTGTCTATCCAAATGCATTCCCACTTTGTTTGAATAGCAATATTTAGGATGGTCGGACAATTTTCTTTTTCTCATACTGTCCAAAGCAAAAAGAGCAAATCAGCTTACCTGTCACTAACCTTTGGTCCTTGCACGTCCCACATTCAATGCTTGAATCTGACTGTGCATCTCTTTCAAAACGTGTTTTTATAGACTATGAGGGGCAGGACACGATGAGGGAGTGAGGTGATAGTGGTCTTAGAGACAATAAAGGTGGTTGATATCACACTTTTTTTAAATCTATATGTGAACCTGAAATGTTTTCAAGTTTTAGTGGTATGTGGCCATCTAGGTGAGAAGAGAAGACTGACGCTATAGACTTTCCCAAACAACATTTGTTTTTTGAAATTGTATATGATGGCCTAAGTTAAAATGTTAGTGAGCCAGGTTGAGAACAATTTGACCTTTCAGCTACAAATATTGACACTGAAAATAATATTTATGTACAATTAAAATAAACCCTTGTCTAACCAAATTAAATTATACAAATATTATTTATATATTTAACAAATCAGTCAAATCAAGCCAGACATATACATTATGAATACATTAGATTACATGATGGACAGTATAAAAATGTGTTGTAAGAGCATTTATAAAAGAGGTTATGCTAGATATTACAGATCAAGGCAACACAAAGTAATCAATACAAAAAAGCATCGATTTCAACATTAACGTTATATTCTCCACTTCCCTCCCCGACATTCTGTGGTTTTGGATACTTTAATGTTAACTACATACATGAATATGATAAACAAGTGACATTTGGTTGGTCTAGAGCAGGGGTCTCCAACCTTTCTTCATCTGAGAGCTACTTTCAAAAAATGAAAGTGGCCAAGAGCTACTTGCATCACATCGCTTACATTTATTCACATAGCCCTCATCAGTTGAATTAAGCTATACTTTTGTACACGTGTGAAATTGCAATACCTAAAGCTTATCAAAAATAAGGTCCAAGAAAACGAAGATTTCTCACATATTATTATGGCCCACATAATAAGTACATCACTGAACATTCACATAAGTGTCCTTAATCACCACCTTACAAGCATTTCACTCTTTTGTTAGTGAGATGAATGGCACTGCATGCAGTCCACCATAGAGGTGTATGCTGGACCCACTTAGGTTCACTTAATAGAGTCATTTAAATGTTCATCAGTCGGTCTTGTTCTGTATTTAGATTTCATTCATGTCAGAAAAAGCTGCTTCACAAAGGTATGTAGAACAGAACCAAATAAAGCAGACATTTTCAGTGCTGCTTGGTGAATGTTCTTATAGTTTTCTGGGTCTACAAGGCTCCAGAAATGTTGTGAGTTTTGCTGAGACTTAAGCTGAACATTATTTTGGAGATATCCACAGGATTGACACTGAACAGTTGTTCAGCCATCTTTTTCTTCTTCTTCTTCGTCTTGACATTAAATTATAAACCATAATAAATCAATTGTATAGGTCTAGCCTCCCTATATCTGTGTGTGAAAATGGTTCCATTCTCAAAAACAAAAAACTAATACTTCTGCAGTCTAGCTGCAGCTTCTAGCTACGGTCTTCTGTTAAAAAAAAGACACTGAATGTCTTGAATGTGGCATCACACACATGACTTGAGTCTGAAAACAGCAGGAGTATTTACAATAGCATTATAAAAACAAAAATAGTGCATGTGGGTGCACACTTACATTATCTGTCTTACTGTTACATAAATCCCATGAATGTATGAGATTAAGTTAGCTTCATCATATCTCAATCAGTGATTAAGTGAATAATAAAGTTTCTATCGGGTCACTATCAGCCTGTCACTCATTATTTTCAGGGAGGGGGCGGGGTTTGGAGGAACGGAGAGGAGACGGTGATCGCGGAAGCTTTCCTCCTGCCTTCACAAACTTTACACAAGTATTTATCAACTGAAAATAGCAAGAGGACATTCATACTCTGCAATCCAAGACTTGATTAAATCCACCAAAAACCTGACATGACGATAACGAGTGTTTTTCAAAAAACACAAATCCCTCCCTGTGTGTCTCTGAGGCGCAGCGACAGGGCCTGATTCAGAGCGGGTCATTCTGCTGTTGGTTCTGGACTCGTGCTGGTGGAGAAAGCAGACTGCTCCGTGTGTGATGTCGCTGTGCTGCTGTCACGTCTGTTCCTTGATCTCTGCGTCACCGACCATTTGATATTCATGTGACAGAAACAATTCTAAAATAAAAAAACGTTATGGTCCAGCCGCGGCCGAAAAATCAATAAGCAACCTTACTACGCTATAATCGATAATCGAGCGGCGAGCTACTGAAAAGCTGCCCGCGAGCTACCGGTAGCTCGCGATCGACGTGTTGGAGAGCCCTGGTCTAGAGTGAGGGAGGGGGGCCTAGTTCGTCACAGCCCCACAGAGGTGTGGCTGTGGGCTGCTACCGGGGTGAGAGGTGGAGGTGGTGTGATTCATCCGCAGATCCTCACTTCTCTCCTATTAGAGGATTACTGCGCGTCACCTGCTGCCTTCAAGTGAACCTCGGGAAAATCCAAGTGCATGAGTAGGTTTTGTGCAGTATTATTGGAAACACACTATGTTTTAAACGTTTTACTTTTATTGTTAAAAGACACACAAAAACACTCAATAATAAAATTAAGCCTATTATGAAAGTACTTTATTATTTTTGAATTTTCAAATAAATCAAGCACAGAGATTTGAGCTCTGGACTCAAAGTGTCATGTGTCTGGATAGTAACTCATTATAGAACTGCAGCTGCAAAAGCGTTTCTCGTCATGATTAAAATCTATGGTAGGATACAATTTATCATAATTTACGATTATAGAATAGGTCTATTCTATAATCGTAAATTGTATTTGTTATGTCTTGTATAAATCAAGTTGGTCTTGACCTTTGGACACACGATTGAAGGGCTGGTCTTATTCTTTCACCAAAGTATTCTAAAGAAAGAACACGTTTTGCTTTAATTCAATTATTTGTATCTAGTTATAACTAAGAAACTACAACTACGCTATTTCTGTTTACAATGTGAGATTTGTTGCTAACTGCACTATTTCTGTCTGTATTGAAGGCAGCTGTTCAGTCAGTGTCGGCATTTGCTGCCAGTGCCGCCGAGCAGCATGAAAGCGGTCCCAGTGAAACAGAATAAGACCAGAAGTGAAAACTGTTCGCCTTCAAAATAAAATGTGATCTTTATTCAAATATTCAGATTATAAATAATGTGTGTTTTATTAAGAGAAATGATGGATTACAAAGTGGGCATAGAGGGCATTTTGTTTGGAGTTCCAGGAAAACTACTCTATGTGTCACTATGTGCCTGTTGGCTTGGGTAATTTGGTTAATTGTAAATGTGTTAGAGAATATGCACCAACAGTTAAAATTACTCTTGCGCTGTAGAGGTTTAGCATCTCTCTGCATTTAAAATGTTCGAATTTTAGATCTTGCATAGTGCATATTCTATATGGAGTTGTATTTAATCAAATTGACACTAAGAAAACCTAGGAATAGTTTTAGCCCAACAAGATAAGATACAATTGACCTTTTTTAATCCCCGTGGGGAAATTCAGTAGTTCAAACAGCAACAGGGTAAGGATGAAAAACAGGTCAGCACAGATTCACACAGGTTAATAAAATCAAAGATAAAATCAAAGATAAAAATAAAACTATGAAATAAGAAATGAATTAAAATGAGCATATTTACATAGGCTATTTGGGTCATATAAACTGCCATACACAACAATGAACACATAAGAGAGACTTAATTGTCATCCATCTTTATAAAGTCAAGGAAATTATGTAGAGGAACATATTTATATTTGCCTGGTGCGGACAGAAAGATATAAAAAAAACAGGTACAATAAGGGTATTTATGTAGTAAGGGGCAAGTAGTCCAAGTAAAGTGAGTGACGGTATAATATCACGTGAGCTGACAGGGCAAGGACTGGACAAATAGATGGGCAATAATGTTCAGTAACATCTATTGTTGCTGGAGAAATTGGGACTGTTGAATATGAATCAAATTGGGTTCCTTTAGTAAGATTTCCTTACCAAAATTAGTTTTAAGATCCAATCAAAAAGATTCAACTGTACACAGTAAATAAGCAAATGTTCTAGCGTTTCGTTCATAAAATTACGAAAGAGTGAGCAGTGCTCTCTAATGTGAGGATTACGCTAAATATTGTGGCCCGTCTATGGATCCATGTTTTATTTCGAAATCAGTGAGCGGAAGTGTCGTTGTTGTTGTTATCTTTAGCTTAACAGTTGTGTAAAGGCAATGCAGGGGATTTAAAGGCCGCCAGGGAAGATTCCGCATTTCAAGGAATATAGCCAGCCTGAAATAATGTTGGGAAATAATGTGTGAAACAGATTTTGAAGAAAGTAATGTAAGCTTTACGGTTTTAAATCACACGGCTCAAATTTCTGCTTCCTCATCCCCAGTCACTGGACATCGGTAGCCGACTTGCCCGGCTTGCTAGCCCGCAGACCTTCCCAAAATCTCTGCTCCAGAATCAAGGATTTCATCAGTTTTTTCTTCTTATAACGCTTTACGAAAGCTACTCAGCATCAAACGGAACCGACCCGAGCATCTGTCTCCGGGTTGCTCTCATAACACTAAAGCTATGACCTGCTAGTCCTCTACTGCAGATCTGACCGCTAGGAGCTAGCATCCTCTGGAGTTGGATGGACCTCTCACAGCATCCCTGCCGCCGGGGAGGCGTTCAAACCCGTCCTGCTGCTGCTTCACTGGAATGCTAACTAACGAGGAAGCGGCTTTAACATGACGAGGAACAATTTGCCTATCAACCGCTGCAAGCTTTTAGGTGCTTCACAGACATTTTTTAGATGCCAAATGTAATGACCGTCCCGAGCTCGCACCATGTACGTGGCTGCCCGTGTCTGTCTCCAGCCTCGCGGATGACACTCACACAGGTACCGGCGTTTCAGAGCGAACAGCGGCGGCGCTGATAACACCGTGTTGAGAGACTAGCGCCAAAGCTAGGAGGCTTACAGCACAAGATATAACCCCTAAACAACACCAATGGTATCCCATAAGGTTTTAGTCGCAATAATCCTATTAAATGTGTATATAGGTGTACAGTCTGTTTTTTACTTTTTCGGCGGGGTCCTTTTGACGGGGTTGTTTGCTATGGCATATTTGAATGGACCCAGGCTGCTGGACTGGGCGAGTTCACCCCCTCATCTTCAGTTCAACAAATACGTCCTAACGGGATACCGGCCAAGCTCCTCTGTGCAAGACTGCATCAGAAGCCTGTTCTACCTGCACAATGAACTTGGGAACATATACACTCACGGTGAGTACAACAATTCAGCATGAACTGCTTAGTCAGCAGGTGAGATTTATGTGTGACTTTGAGTATTAACCATAGGTATTAACCCACAGCAGTACTGTTCCTGCGGAAGGATGCCAGCCAAACTCTGCACAAATGCATGGACCATTTGTGTTCATAAAGGCATACATGACATAACCCCTTCATTTTTGACCATGTGCATTTAAGTTATTCATATTCATATTTGAACAATGATATTTATTTGTACAGCACCAACAATTGCATCACAGTGTGCTCTACAAAACAAGTGGATAAAAACTGGAATATAATGCCAGGTTAATGTAAAATATAACAAACTTTTGTCTGCAACATAAGGACTGTTTTTGGCATATTATTGGATTAATCAGTGTTGTCTAGACTTTGAAACATACACTAATGGTGAAAACCTTTAATGCTTAAGGTTATGTCTTTAAATGTCTTGTGTCCTAGCAACAATCCAAAACCTATAGGTACAAAAAGTAGCAAATCCTCTTGATATAACTTGAAAACGACAGAAACTATTAGGGATTATCATAATAGTTCCAGTTTACTTTTTCTTTCCCTTGATTAAAAATGAGTTGTTACAGCTCTATCATCTGGTAAAAATTGTTTATACAATATCATCTTGAATTCAGAACTTTGACTAGTACTTAAGTAAAAGATATGAGTACCCTTTTCACCACTTTTCCTCAGGCATTCAGAATAAAAAGTAAAAAAAGCTGTGTGTGTTCTTTGCTTACAGGCAGAAGTTTGCCTTAAATTTCTTTTCTGAGTGGCTTTTCCATGTGGTAAAAATGTCATGGTTACACAACAATGTCAATCTGTTGATAGGCTTGTGCAAGGCAAAATTAATTGTATTAATATGTTAATCAGTGCTATACCAATAACAAACATCCTACAGCTGTAGGAAGGTGTAGTACATCATCAGTGTGTTCACAGACTCCTGCGAGTCTGACAACTTCCTCATTGTGAAGGTAATTTCTTCACTTCTAACTGCCAGCCGTCACAGAATAAACTGCAGAAGTGATCATCAGGGAAGTGGCCCTGTGCAATCTTATAACACTCCTGTTACGTCAGCTGAGCATGTGGCCTGCAGACACCCTTAACACTATTGCCTATATAAGGCAGTGATGTTTAGGGCAACAAGCTTTTGCCCAGTTTTCTGAACTAAATAGAAAAAGATTCAGAGCTTTGCATGCAATTCATGAGTCTTTTATTGTGTTGTAACATTTTATATAAGTTTCACGAGCTGGTTCCTGTTGACTCTTTTGCATATAAACTGAAAACATCCTGCCCGCAGCTCAGCTCGCAGACTCTTCACTGCGTTCATGGCTTCATAGGAGGTACTCTCTACTGTATTTAACCCTGAATGGGATTCAGCTTGGCCGGTCGGCTCAGGACGAGTGGGGGGAGGAGCCGAGATAACACACTTAAAATAGATGTGTTACAGTAGAACGCAATGCCAGTATCACCTGGCCGGGACAAATGCCTTGACATTGGGAACAGCAGAGCGAGCAAAAAAAAGGAATGGAGTGCAGTATGTGTGCTGTAGAGTGATAAATGATCCTAACAACTGTATGTGTATCAAATTTCAAGGTCTGTATTTCTGCTAACATAGCAGTGAACACATGCCCAAAAGGGAAACATACATTAAAGCTATGAGGCCATTCTAAATATGTCTCTTAGCTGAATAAAAAAAAAATAGTTAGCCGTGGCTTTGTTTTCCGCTCACAAGGTGACAATGATACGTTTGTGCTCGTCATGTAGATTTCTGCTCTCTTGCAAATTATTCTTGCTGGTGTCTGCACACACTCAGCACTGTATGAAAAATAACATGCACAGGCCTCGAAAGTCCTGAGCTAGATCCATCAAAAATAAACATGACACCTTATTGGATTTATCAAAGTTACAGTGTTATTTTTTCGTTTTTGAGCTGATTGCTTTCGGACCAGGTGCACATTACCTCAGGCAAAACTTCTAACAGTAAATAATCCTTCAAAATGTTGTGTTTCACACATTTTAGTGTGAAAAATGTACTGAAAAACTCTAGATTAATTAAAAACACGACTCTGAGTGCAGCATCTCCCTTTTAAAAGTGTTTCATGTTTGTTTTGTGTGCAGCCCTGACGGGAGCTACACATTGGCTTCATCTTTTACTTCAGTAAACTTCCTCTAACAACCTGTGCTTTCTCTGTTTCTCCAGGCATCCCTTTGGTGTGCTTCCTGGTGCTGCTGCCGCTCAACATCCCCTGGTCTCAGATCAGTGTCACGTGGCTGGGTGTGGTGCACTTCCTGGCCTGCCTGTCGCCTCAGCTGGGCTCTGTGCTCTACCACCTCTTCATGAACCACGAGGGGGGGGAGCCCGTCTACCACACCCTCCTCAAACTCGACGTGTGTGGAATCTGCATGATCAACACGTTGGGTAAGCTCAGCAGATTTCTTCACCGTTTATCATTTTGCCGGCCTTGTGTTATTGCTGATCTGTTTATTTTGAGGGTGGAAGTACTCTTTATTGATTTTCAATGATTTACAATGGAAGTGTTTTGCTCTGAGGTGTTCAAACACTGATTACATATTTGACTACCGAGTAAATTAGCCAACGTAAGAGATGATCCAAGTTGATTATTGATCTATTCATGCTGCTTGTAATAGCCTATTAAAATTACAAATGCAGTATTTTTACTTATTTATGTACTTTGGTTAAAACAATTTAGATTGCCAATATAAACATATGCTGATGATAATACACTTATAATTAATATTGTGACTTGAGACTGGATATCTGTGTTTTATAAACTAACCATACAGCTTAGCTCTTCGTGCTAAGTCAAATGAAAAATGAATGAAATCCACCTGCTTGACCATCATATCCCACATTTTTCAGCACCTGTGTTATCTTTGTGCAAGCTTTTTCGCTTGTTGTGCTAACCTCAGCATCTCTTAACGGTTTTACAGCAAAAAGTTTCCGGTCGGAACTTTTAATGGTGAAATTAAATGTTGTGCTTCATACTAATACATAAATAGTGTTCTATGTTTGGCTAAGTGCACTGAATCATGACCCAGTACCATAGTAGTCACAAATAAACAAAGCGTTAAAACCATAGTTACTGATTACGTGTTTGTCTATCGACTTATGGAATATCCTTTGAGCTCTAAGTGAGTATAATACAACTGAAATGTGTTTAGCTCTCCATATGGGTTTAATACATTTATGTAAATTCCTCCTGCTCAATTTTTAATTCACCAAAGTTTCCAAATCTTGAAAACGTAGTTTTATCAGGAGCACACAGAAAACTGCTCAACGAGTTGAGTGCTGTATCTAACACACCAACAGGCAGTGGCTAAACATAAGAGGATGTGACTGCTGCTCACCACCCTCTGAATGAGCAGTGTCTCTGTACAAACAATATGACCTCTGTGTCACTGTGGCTTGCACCAGGCGTTACATCGTGCTGAGTAGGGCGCTCCATCTCTGTGCTGACTCTCCTCTGTTTCTTTTCTTGTCTCAGGGGCGCTTCCCATTGTCTACAGCACGCTGCTGTGCTACCCGTTCATCCGCACTGTGGCCCTGTTAGTCTACATCCTGCTGTCCAGCCACGCCATCTACTGCGCCGTCACTGCGCGGAGCAGCATCCTCCGCCTGCGCTCCTTTGCCTGGCAGGCGCTGTTCCGCTTCTCCTTCTTTCTCCTGCGCGGGGTGGGCATGGGTGGCGGTAGCCCCACCTCGCTACGCCACTTCCTCATGATGGATGTGCTGGCCGTGCTGGGCGGGGTCATCAACATCACACGCATTCCGGAGCGTTTCCGCCCCGGCCTCTTTGACTACTGGTGCAACAGCCACCAGATCATGCATGTACTGGTGGTAGGCTCCATTCTCTACCTGCACTGGGGTGTGCTGGACGACCTGCTGTGGATCAACAGCTACAACTGTCCCTCAGACTGACCCCCCCTGCTGACCCCACCCCATCACAAGGAGCACTAGGATCTAAGGTTCAAGGACCTCTGAGGGGAGGGGGGTGTTTGCGTAGGGGAGGGGGAGGAGGGGTCATCAGGGGGAACTAATGCAGCGAGGTGTTGTACGTGCATGTGTTCACCTCATGCACTTAAATTCAGAATGTTCATATCTACATCCATCTAGGTACTTTGTGCCAATGCAGGCTAAAGTATGTCAAGTTACATGCACAAGCATTTTGACTCTGTGTCTTTTCGTAAACATGGACACACAGGTGTCTACGGACACACACATAAACACACTTACATACACACATACAAACACAGGTGTATACGGACAAACACACTTACACACACAATGGTACATTTTAAACACTAAATATACGGACTGAGTATTGAAAACTATGACGTCTTAATTAAAGGTTCTAGTAAAGGTTAGGCTGAGTTTGAAGCCTTAGCCTAATAACAGAAGTTTTACTAAAGCATTAGTTAGTTTGGTTGGTGAAGACGGTTCTAGGCTTGAAAATATCACATGCTCAGTCCTCTCAGATGTCACTGTTGCTACCTATGCAGCACATCTATATGTCATGCACATCACACATGCAACACACACTCTCAGACAACCTCACACTTTTTTTTTTTATACTACATGTATATACTGTTAGTGCCGCACAAAGCACTCATAGAGTTTCACTACGTCCAACTGACAGAGTTTTACTGGACTGGTTCTTCTGTCCCTGTTTACTTGTTTTTTTGCCACTGCCTCTTTTTTCCTGTGTCGGTCTGATTTGTCAGTAATGTCAAATGATGACGAGGAAATGAAGATAGGTGCGGGGGTTCATTCCTGAGGTTGCTAGCATGTTAACAGTTCACTTGCTTTAGGCGGCACGTGACTCGTGCACACATTTTAAAACTGTGTTGTTCAGAGGCATTATTGTTCACCAAATTTGCTTTGGCGACTAAGCAAAGTCCTATTTATTGGTTTACATTTGTAGGAATCTCCCATTGTAAGGACGATTGTAACCACTATTTATATTTATTGAAGTTGAGGTTTTATAACTTTGAAGTTATAAGCTGCGTTCAAATCTTTTATGTACATTTGTTCTGTAGAAGAGAGATATGAACAGGCACTATGATGATAAATATCACACTGAAATGCCACGATATATATATATACGTAATTACGTATATATATCACTGAAAGTTAAAGGAAAGTTACATTTCCATATTTTGTTGATTGTAATTGTTAAAGGAGAGGTGTCATGGCCATTTCCACTGATCATAATTCCATTGTTGAGGTCTACTAAAATAGATTTATACTGTGCATTTTTCCAAACTCACATTGGTTTCTCATACAGCATCTCTGTAAACTACTTGTATTCACTGAATTTCCTTGTTTAGGATACATAGTGAAACACAGCCAAACTCATCCTGAGCACACACAAACTCACATCCGAAGTAAAACAATAAGTGTGTCTTGATATTGAGTAAGAAAAAGGTTGATAAACGCTGTGAGAATGGGTCTGCAGAGAGAATTTTGCCACGATCCCAACTGTCTGTTATCAGCCTGCAGCCAGGGAGGAGAAATCAGCTGAGTTGCCTGCTCCCTGCACACAGATGTGTGTGTGAGGAAGTCCGTGGATTGGTCAATTTGGACCAATCAGCGGGGGCTTCACGTAACGGCTCCGCGGACGTAACGTAACGGCTCTTCGGGATTGGTCCATTTCGTTCCGGGTACCGCTTGACATCATGCCGTACCCGGAACGAAATGGAAGACTCAAATGGGCAGTGACGTATCTCCAACGAGGCGTTTTGGGGAGGTATTTTCTGTGTTAGAGTTTTACTCGCTACAGGGTGTACTTTGAGGGTTTTGACTCTGCACACCGTTTACATGCATAAAAACCTTCATAACACACAAGGGGACGGGTAATAACCGGAAAAGCATGACACCTCTCCTTTAATTCCTAAATAATTCAATATCTTTACACTGTAACTGACTATTGGAACATTATGCACAAAATACTGTTATGAACTGTTTAAAATTGTTACGCGTTTTACTCAGTTCTATTAACTTACAGATACAGGTAACATTGTGTTTCTGCCGGCTGTTTAAACAAATCACTGCTGTGCAGAACGACAGATCAAGATAGAGGTCAGAGAAAATCTTCTGTTTTATTCTAACCGTGCAAATCTAGAGGATTAGCTCCTCATATATTCTCCCTACACACCTTTTCCAAAATGATTTTTGACTTCTGTCCCTCAGTAATATTGTTAAAAAATGATGTGTCTCTATGCATTGCCATTTACAATAACAATCACAATAATCGGCAAGAAAAACATTCTTACAGAATAGGAATATGATCTTAGATTTTAAGGATGTTAGGTCCTTTTTTTTTTTAAGTTGAATGAAAAGGTTTTTTATGTATTTGGATGTTTGCCTGTACACTGACTCTTGATTGATGGATTATAAGGGTCACTCACTGTTGCCACAGAATGGTGCACTTTATTGCCAATATTTATGTTTTCTTATTTAAATGCGCAGAATATGCTCTGCAGCTGGATTTATGTTCTGTGAGTAGATATGTTGTACCTGAATAGAGGTTAGACACTCTTTTTAAGAGCAGAGTTGTGTTGAACTGGCTGAGAACCAACGGGAATGAACCCCTGTCCCTCCTCTTATGTATCAGTTCTGTGTGAATGTCCATGATTGTTTTGCCACTGTGTTCCTCTGTGGTATCTTAGGCACTACTCTTGAGTAAAAGAAACTGTTGCTCTGTTCCTTCATGCTCAAGACTAGTGGTTGATTTATTTTCCACAGGCTGACTTTACTTTCTTAATGACTTTGCACTTGTTTCCCATGCCAACAGTCACAGCTGCCCACTGACTAGTTGCCAATCCCGTCAGACACACTTTATCTTGCCAAATTAGCAGAGATTGAGGTGTAGCACATCCTGCTTCCTGTGCTAACACTGACTCATAGGTGAAGACAGATTTCACACGGTCTTAATCACGTAGGCCTACACAAGTCCCAGACTGCGTCCTCCCCACCTCCCCTTGATTAAAAGTCAGACACCTAATGTCTGCTAGTTTCACTCTGACCCAGTGATAATTACCTATATGACTGTGGTACAATGTAAAAGCTGAAACTAATGTGTTATTGGCCACTGAATGAAACTGAAAAAAATATGCATGAAAGTAGCTATAAAACAGATGCTGATGTCTCATAGTGTTAGGAAATTGTTTGTTTATTGTAGCCATCCGCAGGCCATGTCACTCGCTCCAGGAAAAGACTGTGGGTAGTGGGAGGTTTTCAAAGATCAAAAGGCATAACATCAATTTCAAATAAACTGCACTCTTCATAATTCTTAAAAGGGCTTCGGATTAAAGTAAATTAGAGTTCTGAAACATTTAAAGTCCATATAAATAATGTAAATACATGTATGTAGATTATATATACATACAATGCAAACGATATACCCTGTTTAATTTTCTTTGGATACATACACAATATGTTAAGGGAATAAAATATTGGATAAGAAGAAATTGGATTTTGCCTCACAGAAGCTGCTGCTCTCTATCACAGCCAAGGGAAATATGAGTGAGGGACGTTGCTCGGTGCTGAGCTTCTGATTAATATCCAAGATGTGTGTTTGCTTAGATGTGTCCATATGTATGTGAACAACACAGAAAATAATGGTTTCAGTGCTAATGTAGAGTTGTTTGACCTTTTTGTGACCCTAACTAAGAATGCGTTGATTATTTAAATGTAACCACTTTCTTTATGTTGGTAAGGAATGATTTGTTACTATTGTGGGGAATCTTGGCAGGCATGTGAATACCTCGTGACTACCACTGGTCTATCTATGCATTATCAGCCGAAGGATACGTAACAGTGAAGTCCGTTTTTGTGTTTGTTTGAAACAGCTGATACGCTGTAACGGAGGGATTTGCTCCAACATCCTGGGTCTCCCACTTCTCAGGGTGCCATAACAGTAGCTGTAACATTCAAGGCCTGTCCTCTGCTGTCTGAAACATGGCTGCAAGACCTCCATTTACCTCCGCCTGTCCTATGTGTCCAACTTGTTCATATTAACTGGGTAACAGATTGGACAGAAGGGACAAAGATGGTGGAATATTTCTCAGAGAACCATGTTACAGGAGTGAAACCTGGCCAGAAAAATGTTGTCCTTCTGCTGTGTGTTAAATGAAAAAATGACAAGATGTAGGAACACATAACTAACATAACAAAATTCATTTTTTAATATAACACAGGTGCCGGATAGCCTGTTAATGACCTGTTTATAATCGACTACCTGTATTGTTATATTCTAATTATTCTGATAACTGTAATTCTGTGGATCCTAATAATGACACTGGTCAATGTGTACAGATAAAGAGACAAGCCCTTTTAGGATGAAGGGAGATTTCTGGAGGGTCTGTCTGTTATAATCATTTCATATGTGCAATGTCACATTTTCTAACTGACAAAGGAGTAAGCGTGGCTCCATCTAGTGAAAGTTCATGTGCACTGATGCAGGCATTATTGTAGCCATACTGCAGGCAAATGAAAATAATTGACATCTTGTAATACTGTCTGCGTTGGTTTGCAGTTACTTTTTATTTATATTTCCTAACCATGTATGTTAACGTGTGTGTATGAGCTCTCCTGCAGAGTCCATACAAGCATTAAATCTGTTGTCAACATTCATTTCTCCCTTATGCACTGACGGGGGCTGACTGCATCCCCAGAGTGCCTCATTATCCGGTGTGTGTGCACAAACACATTTTGTTCCTGTGCTGTTGTTTCACACAACTGTCAAACATCAGTGTCCTGTGTAACAGACAGGCTCTTGCACTCCTCAGTCTCCAGCAACGATTGTGCAATAAACTGAAGTCTATATTTTTAAAACTGGCCATCTCTTTCATCCATGTTTCTTTTATTTAGGTGTGTGTGTGTGTGTGTGTGTGTGTGTGTGTGTGTGTGTGTGTGTGTGTGTGTGTGTGTGTGTGTGTGTGTGTGTGTGTGTGTGTGTGTGTGTGTGTGTGTGTGTGTGTGTGTGTGTGTGTGTGTGTGTGTGTGTGTGTTGTATGGGAAGGAGAGAGAGTTAGGACTTGGGGCCCTGGCAATGTTATTACAAGGCATAACAACGTATTTCTCTGAGCTCTGTAATAAAACCTCAGTACAACTTAACCTCTTCTCTAATAAGTCAATTAGAGTTGTAATTGCACAGGTTAATTAAAAGTTATAGCCCAGGGTGAGGTGTTTAAATAGGTGTTCCAGACATTTATAATTGCTTGTCCATAACTGGCAAGAGACATAATTGTCATAATTGAAGGACCAGAGGGTGATATACTGACTTTAAAACCCTTGTATAGGCCATACCCTCAATCTTACATTTTCCACAATGAAATGTTCTTTGTGACTCTCCTGGCTGACTTCAGACTTAACAAGACTTAATTCACAGCCAAAGTTAACCATGAAATTGTTGATGTGCTTGAAGTTAAAATTGAGTTTATTATTGGAACTGTAATCGGAAGTGTAATATTGGTTCAATTATGAGTCAGGGTTAGTGTTTTGTGCTCAAAAACTGCACAATGTGAGAGAAATCCAGAAGATCTACTTTTTCCAAAGTAGGCCTCCACTATAATATACTCTACAGTCTACACTATCATTTTCTTTGATATAGGCATTTGGTTCAGTACATTTAATGAATAAGAGTAAAACATTTCAGTTTTTCTTCATCCAAACTTTTCCTCAGGTTTCAGCCCTCATTTGCAATATAGCGATTCTGTGTAATAACATCCTGATTCTGCTTTTATTGACACCTGAAACAGACTCATCTACATTGTTCTCACAATTCTTGATATAATATTACAAAATGATCTCATAAAACGTACACCATCTTCCCCTTCTTCAGCTTTTCAACCCCAAAATGTCACGCAAGACACCTCCCACTTCCACCTTCATTTGAAAGTCTCACTTCCTCCATGTCCTTTTGAATTGTACTTTAACCTACTGTCTCCTCTAAGTCCTCATTCTGCTGGCAGGGTGTTTGGTACTCTGCCGAAACTCCTTCAGCTGAATCGCTCCCAAACGACTCTCAGGTAGGCCTGCAACATCTGTCACACAGTTTGTTTACACGTACAAAACAACCGTGGGGATATTGTTTCATCTATATATATGATAGGTCAAAAACAGGTTAGGATAACAGAATGTCGTTGATTTGAATCGAGCATATTTGATCATCATGTTCCTCATGGGCTGAGTTCAGCTGTTTCAAGCTAGTGAATTGTTTCCATCACAACAGAGAGACAGA